AGGAAGGAAGGAAGGAAGGGGGGAACCTCACCGCTCCACGCAAGCCCCCCGTCCCGAGCGCGCGCGGGCACTGGCTCCCCAAGGGAAGAGGAGGGGGCCCCCCGCCGCGACAGGGAAGCGCCGCGGCCGTCCCCCCTTACCTGGATAAACTGGATGGTGAGCGCGGACTTGCCCACTCCGCCGCCGCCCACCACGACCAGCCGGTACTTTTCCTGCCCCGGGCCGTCCCTGCAGCCCGCGGCCATCGAGAAGGAGCCCAGGCCAGGCGGGGAGGGAGCAGGGCGGCGGCGGCGGGCTCAGCGGGAACCTCCCTCGCTCGCTCGCCGGGGCTGCCACCGCCACAGGCCCGCACGCGGCTGTCGCTGCTCGGCCGCTTGCGCGCGAGCGAACTCCGGCAAGGGTTTGGCGAGAGGAGCAGAGAGAACGCGCGGCTCGACGGCAGCTGCCAGCCGCAGGCTCCTCCTCCTGTGCGCGCGGCTGCTGCCCCGGCGGAGTGAGAGCGCCACCAGCCTCCGCTCGCCTCCAAATGGCCGTCGAGAGGAGGGGGCGGGCATGGAAATAGATATGAATATTCATAGAGTGGGCGGGGAGTGGCGCTTTCCAGCCTCCGGAGGGGCGACGGGTCTGCGCGATATTGGTTGCACGAGGAGGGCTGCCTGCAGTGCCGGATTTACGCATAAGCTAAATAAGCTACAGCTTAGGGCCTCGCAATCTGCTGGGGCCTCAAATAAAAACACAATATAAGAAATGATTTCTAAATATTAAAAAGCCGTATATATTTTAATTTTTTTCTGAGACCAGCTGATGTGATTTTAAACAGTAAGGGGCCTCTGGGTTTTGTATAGCTTAGGGCCTCAGCAAGTCTAAATCCGGCCCTGGCTGCCTAGGAGGGCGTCTTCCCTGCAGGCACGTACATTGGTCTCCTCTTCCCGCGGTTCGCTCTTTCGCCTCCCCGCTCCTTGGATTCCCAGCCGGAATTTTACGGAAATTAGTGGAAATGTCATGGTGGTTTTTTTTTTCCTTCTCCTTTATGCGTGTCGTTATCGCGAAAAGATATAGGTGCAACTAATGATTTAACTGAGCTGCGGTGGCTCAAGTGGTTAAGACGCTGAACTGCAGGCTGTGGGAGGTTGGTAGTTCAGCAGTTCGAGACCCGAGTTGCCGCATGGCGGAGTGAGCTCCCGTCTCTAGTTCCAGCTCCCGCCAACCTGGCAGTTCGAAAGCAAGAAATTGCAAGTAGATAAATAGGTACCACTTCGGTGGGAAGGTAACAGCGTTCTGTGCGCCTTGGTGTTTAGTCATGGCGGCCACATGACCACGGAAACGTCTTCGGACAGCGCTGGCTCTTCGGCTTTCAAACGGAGATGAGCAGCCCAACCCTAGAGTCGGATTCGACTGGCTTTCGAGCAAGGGAAACCTTTACCTTAATGATTTAAGACAAACTTGTGGAACATACTAAAACGCTTTAGCATTGTGATGTAGCCCACAACCTATTGAGATCCGTGAAACACCTTCTATACATTTTCCCGGATATGTGTTTGTTTGTTTTTAAGATCAATGGGCTCAAGGACCTTACAAATGGCCGTCGAGAGGAGGGGGCGGGCGTGGAAATAGATATGAATATTCATGGCGTGGGCGGGGAGTGGCGCTTTGCAGCCTCCGGAGGGGCGACTGGTCTGCGCGATATTGTTTGCACGAGGAGGGCTGCCTGCAGTGCCGGATTTATGCATAAACTAAATAAGCTACAAAAGGAGCTGCGGTGGCTCAAGTGGTTAAGACGCTGAACTGCAGGCTGTGGAAGGTCAGTAGTTCAGCGGTTCAAGACCCGGGTGCCGCAAGACAGGGTGAGCTCCTGTCTCTAGTTCCAGCTCCTGCCAACCTAGCAGTTCGAAAGCAAGAAATTGCAAGTAGATAAATAGGTACCACTTCAGTGGGAAGGTAACAGCGTTCCGTGCGCCTTGGTGTTTAGTCATGCCGGCCACATGACCACGGAAACGTCTTCGGACAGCGCTGGCTCTTCGGCTTTGAAACGGAGATGAGCACCGCAACCCTAGAGTCGGATTCGACTGGCTTTCGAGCAAGTTTACCTTTACCTTAAATAAGCTACAGCTTAGGGCCTCGCAATCTGCTGGGGCCTCAAATAAAACACAATATAAAAAATGATTTCTAAATATTAAAAAGCGGTATATCTTTTACATTTTTCTGAGACCAGCTGATGTAATTTAAAACAGTAAGGGGGCCTCTGGGTTTTGTATAGCTTAGGGCCTCAGCAAGTCTAAATCCGGCCCTGGCTGCCTGGGAGGGATCCTTCCCTTGAGCGCAGGCAGGTACATTGCTCTCCTCTTCCCACGGTTCGGCTCTTTCGCCTCCCGCTCCTTGGATTCCCAGCTGGAATTTTACGGAAATTAGTGGAGATGTTATGGTGGGGTTTTTTTTCCCCTTCTCCTTTATGCGTGTCGTTATCGGGAAAAGATAGAGGCGCAACTAATGATTTAAGTGAGCTGCGGTGGCTCAAGTGGTTAAGACGCTGAACTGCAGGCTGTGGAAGGTCAGTAGTTCAGCAGTTCAAGACCCGGGTGCCGCAAGACAGGGTGAGCTCCTGTCTCTAGTTCCAGCTCCTGCCCCAGCTCCCGCCAACCTAGCAGTTCGAAAGCAAGACATTGCAAGTAGATAAATACTTCGGTGGGAAGGTGACAGCGCTCGGTGCGCCTTGGTGTTTAGTCATGCCGGCCACATGACCGCGGAAATGTCTTGGGACAGCGCTGGCTCTTCGGCTTTCAAACGGAGATGAGCACCCCAACCCTAGAGTCGGATTCGACTGGCTTTCGAGCATGGGAACCTTTACCTTAATGATTTAAGACAAACTTGTGGAACATGCTAAAACGGTTTAGCATTGTGATGTAACCCACAACCTATTGAGGTCCGTGAAACACCTTCAATACATTTTCCCGGATATGTTTTGGGTTTTTTTAAGATCAATGGGCTCAAGGACCTTTTAATTTTGCGTTGGATTGTGGCTTTGTTTGAAACCAGGACTCAACTCGTTAAGGACGCGGAGTTCTCCGCCAGGGCGCTGCCTCTTCACGGCTCACCACATTGTCAAAGAGCCTCCTCAAATCAAATATCCAGCCCCTAGAACATATGAAATATATATATTCTTTATTGGTTATGGTCAGGGCTATTTTTGGGCAGGAACGCACAGGAACGGAGTTCCGGCGGGCTCCCAAGTTGACCACGCCCAGCAGGAACTCATTTGCATAATAGGCCACACCCAACAGCAGAAACTCATTAGGATTGGCTACAGTAGGGGTGTGTGGCCTAACATGCAAAGGAGTTCCTGCTACAAAAAAAGCCCTGGGTTTTGACAACAAACAAGGTAAACAGAATAAGAAGCAAAAGGTGGGTGTGGCTGGATGACCACACTTCTGGTAACATGGGGGTGCGGCCTAATGTGCTGCTGAGCTGTGCTGTCAGGGGTGTGGCTTAATAAGCTAATGAGTTCCTGCTGTTGGGTGTGGCCTGTTATGCTAATGAGTTCCTGCTGGGCTTTTTCTACCAAAAAAGCCCTGGTTATGGTTGTGATTGCCCTTCCTTCAGGTACAAGCTGAGACCAGAGATCAAATTAGATCAGGCCCTTCCAGACATTAAAGAAGAGCATGTAGCTAACACATCAGGATTGCCAGAATATCACTTGGAAAACGAAACTGACGCAGAATGTCAGAATTCTCAGTTTTTATTCAGAGTTCTTGTATAAGGCCAGGGGGAGAGAATGCCTACTTTCTGCCTACTTTTCCCACAATGGCACCATAGACCACTTCTTAACAGGAAAGGACTGGGACCACCATACTTGCCACATTCCTCAGTGATTCTCCCCCCCCCCAACTCTTTGTGCTTTGATCTTATACCTCATAGGGGGTCCCTCCTTCCTTGTGTGAAGTACAAGAGTTATAGCACATCTGCCAAATACTGACAAAGATGGAGATATTCCTGGAGATCACGTGCACCCAGCTGGGATTTGGGATGGTCTGGGGGGGGGTGGTCTTGTTTTTAAATGACATCTCTTTTATCACAAAGCCTCCCTGTTTATGCCCAGATGGAGGCTTGAGTTTCCTCTCCTTCAGAAAACATACTAAACGGTTCCTGATCCAGTGTGCACTGTAATGTCATTCTGTGTTGGTTCCCGTGCTAAGCCCCTCTGTTCTCTTACAAGGTGTTGCCAGACTTCTTGATTTCCTAGGGTTGCCAACTCTGTCTTTTGAAATTCCTGGAGATTTGGGGGTGGCCTCTGGGTAGGGCAGGGTTTGAGGGGGAAGGGAGCTCCGCAGGGAAGAAGGGCATAGAGTCCACTTTGCAAAGCTGCCATTTCTTCCAAGAGAAATGAACTCCGTAGTCTGGAAGTCAGTTATAATTTCCGGAGATCTCCAGGTCCCCAAAAGGCTGGTTAGCATTTATTTCCTAAGAGGTTTATTTTAATGTAAATGTGATTGAACTGAATTTTAAAAAACATTTCTAGGAGAAACTGAAGTCCCTCTTCAGGCACACACACACCCCAAATCTCCAGGGATTTTCCAAGCTAGAGGCAGCAGCACTTACAGAGGGTTCGACCTTTACTACAGATGTATACAATGTTTGTTCTCTCCCTTGCCTGTCTGCGCACAATAATCCCTTGTGCAGTTTGCCCTTTCCATGGAGTTTCTGTGCCTAAAGTTCCCTCGTGTATTTTCTAAGGGTGCCCAACTTGAGGCCAGAAGGATATAGCCCCATGCTGCAGGCTGTGTCATCTCAGCTATGGATGTGCTGGCTGGAATTTACGTAATACTTAGGAGGACTTTGATTGACTGAATACTTACTATCAGGGCTTTTTTTGCAGAAAAAGCCCAGCAGGAACTCATTAGCATAATAGGCCACACCCTACAGCAGAAACTCATTAGCATATTAGGCCACACCCCTGACAGCACAGCTCATTGGCACATTAGGCCACACCCCCATGTTACCAGAAGTGTGCTTTCCAGCCACACCCACCTTTTGCTTCTTATTCTGTTTACCTTGTTTGTTGTGTGCCCACCCCCTGAGCTCCTTACTGCCGGAGCTCTGCTCCTGTGTGCTCCCGCAGAAAATGACCCCTGTGAGCAAGTCTCCTCATGTCAGTCCCATTTTATTCAATGGTGCTGACTCCCAGAACTGTTCTCTTAAGATTTCAGCCCCAGGTGGTTGGATGGAAAGGAGCACATACGTCAGAAAACAGTGGGTGTTGTCAAGTGATACTATTCCGCTGGGCAGATTAGTGCTTTTCCAGCATCCATAACACTATTCTGCGTGGTAAAACAAGGAAGAGTTAATGATGCTTTAACTCACCCAAGTGTTTTCTCACAAATGAAACACTGTGATGAAAAAACATGCCAGCTGCTTTATAAACTTCCTCCTAATATTAGACATGCTACAGATAAAATCAGGTGGTGCAATAAACTCTAAAGTACGAAAATGATGTTGAGCCC